CCTACATTAAATTAGAATGTTCCTGGAGGAAGATTTCAGAGCATGAAGTAGTTTCAGAGAAATGGTACCAGTTTCCAACAAGACACCAGCAAAACCAAAAATTTTTGTTTTTTTTTTTTTCCCCATCTCACACAGGATGTTTAATTACAGAACCTGACTTGGAGCAGTTTTAAGTAGGTGTTGCATGTAAGTGCACACCCATAAAAAGGTTTTAGAGTTTGTTGTAGCTAGGTAAGTGCAGTGCCCTAAGTTACCACAAGTTTTCCCCATCTCAAATATATTCAATTTACTCAGGTGAACAGCAGCTGATGTCCAAACATGGAAGGATTTATGGCGTGTTGCATTAGATCAGGGACTCTTGGTTCGAGCTGCAGCTCACCGTCTGAGCAGTGCAAGTAGCTCATACTGGGAACTTAAGTTCCAAGGAGAAAAGACTGCTCTGTTCTCATGTAAAATTATCTGCTCTATTGAAGTCTTTCTTGGTAAGCAGAAGGGCTGTTCAGTTTTCTCTTCAGCCTGCCCTCCTTGGTATGTGCTTTTGCAGCCAGATGGACAAAAAAATGCATCACAGCCAAAGGGAGGGAATGTAGCTTTTGGAAACTGCTGTTAAAAAGCTCTTACTTGATTGAATAGTGTTATTCTGAAAAAAAAGACATGAATAGGACACTTCACAGACCGTGACCACAACACATGAACCCCCTCGTGCTATAACTAGGAACAAGTCACAGGTAGTATTAAAAGCTGGGCACGCTTTGAACATTCATGCTCCTGCCAAATGCTCAAAGAACCCAATAGTCCTTCCTTTGAGCAATGGAGCTGCTGTTGAACTGCTCTGTCAGCTGCAGGGCATTACCTCACACCTCCTTCCAGAAGCAACAGAAGCACTGGGTGTGCCTTTGGATCTGAAAGCAAAAGTGGAGGATTATAAGGTCCCATGCTATGTACACACCTCAGCCTCTTATTTACCCCAACAAGAGAGAATTCTTCCCTTCTCCCTCCCACCTTCAAAGTACAAATGTACTATTTTGTATGCATTGTGTTGATGGATGATTATTTTCTTGAAAAGCCTCTTTGTATGGTGGGGAGTAGTGAAGAAACTGCAGGCATCTGAATACAAAAATGACTCACTTGTCTTTAAACCAGAACTTTTAAACACTTCTTTTTTGCAGAGACCTAAAACTGGACAATGTGATGCTTGATAAAGAAGGCCACATCAAAATAGCTGATTTTGGAATGTGCAAAGAAAATGTTGGTGACAGCAAGGCAAGCACTTTCTGTGGGACCCCAGACTACATTGCTCCCGAGGTCAGTATGGCACTGCCACGTACAGCTGGGATGGATTTAATGCACCCATGGTAGAACAGTCATTGTGATTAATCATCCCTTTGTAGAGTAGTAATTCAGAAATGTATAATTAGCATAGAAAAAGCCAGTAAATCTGAGTTCTCTACAGAAGGTACTTGAGACTTGTAAATATTCTAGAGCTGCAAGTTTAAAAAAAAAACAAAAACAAAACATGTTTTTGAAATGTTAAAAGGTTCAGGTTTTGAACAGGTAGTTCTCCCTTAGAGCTGTAACAGTTAGCATGCACACGGGGCTCCCACAAAACGTGTGTGTGCTGCAGATGGGGAACAGACTTGTGCCCGCGCGATCCAACCAAATTCAAAGCAAAAGCAGCTCCTGAGGGGAATCTTACCAAGTTAAATGCCCTGGGTTCATAGTTGGTTTTCTCTCTGGTTTGCAAATTAGTCCAAATAAGGTAGGTAGTTTTTAAAGCTGTAAATTATGTCAGTGTTTGGTAGGAATCTACTTTTCGTTGCTACTTGCTTCTCCCTTCATCTTGTAAAGAAACTAGAGGAGATGTTTTCCAGGTATATGGTTATTTAAAGTTAATGGAGAAAATTTCTGAGTGAGAGCAAAGACCTGTCCCCTGAGCTGGCCACATTTCCATAAACAGCAGCCAAGGACAAAACTACAGCTGTGCATCAGTGTCAACTGGATTTCCCCTGCCCCCACTCAATACCCTTGTTATTGAAGATTCTCTCTTACAACCCCTCTTGTTTTTTGGTATATATTGCTGCCTTTTACTAATTACTTGTATTTCTTCCTCTGCACCACTTCTCTGGAACAAGATCCTGCAAGGTTTGAGGTACACATTCTCTGTGGACTGGTGGTCATTTGGGGTCCTGCTGTATGAGATGCTTATTGGACAATCCCCTTTCCATGGGGACGATGAAGATGAATTGTTTGAGTCAATCCGAGTGGACACCCCTCACTACCCACGCTGGATTACCAAGGAATCAAAAGATTTATTAGAAAAGGTAGGACTGGGATGAACAGGTGGGTCACAGTACTGTGTATTCGTCCGGGGAGGGACAAATCCAGGCTTTTAAAAGGAGCTGTTTATCACAGAGCTAATTATTTTTACACATGGAATGCCAGGTCAGCTTAATTGCTAATGGTTACCAACTTAGTTGCTACTGTCGCCAACTCTTTTAGCAGTATACCCATTACTCTTCCACTGCCATCTACCTCTTGAGCAGATGTAAAGCTCTATGTTACCAGCTTATCTTCTCTTGCAGCTATTTGAGAGGGATCCAACAAAACGACTTGGGGTCACTGGGAATATCAGAGACCATCCTTTCTTCAAAACCATCAACTGGACGGCGCTAGAGAAGAGGGAAGTGGACCCTCCTTTCAGGCCAAAAGTGGTATGTGGGTTACTCTTTGTTCTGTAGCAGTAATGCAAATTTCTCCAACTTGCTCAAACTGTCCTACTGCAAGTGTCTCCTCACATTTTATAAATGAGATAGTTCTGGTTTTGGATAGTCCAGTTACAAAAAAGGGCACTATATTCCTCTGACTGCCCTGAAATCTTCCTATTAAGACTGTCTGCCTTACACTTGATCAAGGAGCTTCTTTACTAACATAATCTTCAGGAAAATCAACTAATAGTTGTGGTATCCATTCTTAAAACATTGTATTTTTCCAATGATTAATCTGCCTCGATGTTAGAAATGTTGATAGTTTGTTGCATTTTTCTCTTCTGTAATGCCACATGGGAGAAGGACCAATTAACTTGGGGCTACCCACTTGGTAACTGCCTGCAGGCATTGTGTACGAGCATTGTGTGCTCGTTCAAACTCATCTGAGTCTCCAAGTGGCCCAAAGATGCATTTTCTGTACTATTGAACTTAGAACTAGTTGTAATAACATGCCCAATCTCACCTGAAAAAACACCTACAGAACAGACTGTGTTGTTACTCATAGTCTGTGTCACCGTGGGATGCTGCTGCTTCATCTCCCTTGGTTAAAAATCCAAACCAGTTTTCCTCCACCCTGTTACTGGTACAGGTGAAGTGATCTGGAAGTAACAGTCTCTTTAAAACTTACGTACTCGAGGGAGGAGAGCTGTCCCATTCAAAAACTGAAGGTTTCATGTTCCCATAGGAATGGGAACTCTGGAAACACGGGAGTCCTACAAACAGTAACCATTAGAGGTGCAGAGTGCAAAGCTGGGTCTTTAGTAACATGAATTTTTATAAAACACACACAAATATTTTACGCAGACACAAATAGGGAGGCATCACTTTCTTTTCTGAACAAACACAGACCTGAAAATGCTTTCAGGAATTTTAAAATCTTATTTTAAAATCTTATCTTGATCTTATAGCGGCCTTCCAGTACCTGAAGGGGGCCTACAGGAAAGCTGGGGAAGGACTTTTCCTAAGGGCAACTAATGACAAGACAAGGGGAAATGGGTTTAAACTGAAGGAAGGGAGGTTTAGATTAGATATTAGGAAGAAGTTCTTCACTGTGAGGGTGGTCAGACACTGGAACAGGTTGCCCAGAGAAGCTGTGGCTGCTCCTCCCTGGAAGTGTTTAAGACCAGGCTGGATGAGGCTTTGAGCAACCTGGTCTAGTGGAAGGTGTCCCTGCTGATGGCAGGGGGGGTGGAACTGGATGAGCTTTAAGGTCCCTTCCAATCCAAACCATTCTATGATTCTATGAAAATTTTTGGTTAATGGCAAGAAATGTTGGGCTTAAACATAAGTGCAGCTTTGCTTTTGTCAACAGAGAATCTTTGGGTAATTTTATGAAGAGTTACCACAAATCCAGGTGGTTCTTCTCCAAAGCAACCTGGTGCCATTTGTTTTCGACTCACAATAAGCAATTGCCCAGTTATAACCTTACAGTGGTGTTAAAATAGACAAAAAGGAGATTTTTTTTTTTCTCTAAAGGAGGGGGAGGAGGGAGAGTGCTCAAGAAATAACTTCATCACCTTTTGTATCGTTCTGGAAGAAATGTCAAAGTTTGTCTCACACCGTCTTCCCTCTCTGTTTAACGCAGAAGTCAGCGAGTGACTACACCAACTTCGACAGAGAGTTTCTGAGTGAGAAGCCTAAATTATCTTACAGTGACAAAAACCTGATCGAGTCCATGGATCAGTCTGCATTTGATGGATTTTCTTTTATTAACCCTAAATTTGAACAGATCTTAGACAAGTAAGTCTGTTCGGAGTGGGACTTTAAAGCAGGGTTAAACATTATAAACCGAAAACTCCCACGTGGTAAGCGGTGTGTGTCCCAACGATGATGGTGTCGATACTTCAGAATAATACACAGTAGTGTGATTAATTATGTCCAACTGCTGATTTATCGGCAGTGTTCTTTTATGCATGGTTGGGTTTAAGGTTATGTGAATCATGTGCATTATTTTCTCTATTTGGGAAAGTGTAAATTCTGTTTGGTACTTGAATGTAGTTATGTTATACATACCTATGCTGTATATTTTGCTCATGAGAAGACGTTGGGGAATGGAAGATGTCTTTTTAAAAAGTGTTTGAGCCCTTGGTTCTTTTATTTGTCTTCAATTAAAAGTGGCATTAAACTTTCATTCATGGCTTTCTAATTATTTTTTTTTCTATAAATATTCAATTAAACACCAGTTGTCTTTAGACTACAGTAAAAAATAATTGTAAGCCTTAGTCACTTGCAAGAATAACACAAACATTTTAGGAGAATTAACCAAAATGAAGAACTGTGTAACACTGGCTGCTGTGGGAAACAGCTGGCTGCCACTCTTACCTGCTTTTTTATACCCTACCTCTCACTCAGAGCAGTCGGTGCCAAGCGCAGTCATGCTCCACTGATCACACTACACATCAGTTCTGAGGTAGTGGAAGCAGAAGACAGTGAGGCCCAGGTACCCACAGCAGCTCCAACCTACTGCCTGGGCATAAGAGTTTCTGCTATTAGATACTGATTCCTACAACCAGAAACACACAATATGATCACAGCAGCTTACCAGGAAAAAATCATCAGGTAATGACAGTGTGGAGCATTACTACAACTTGCCTGGTGTGCTGGAGAGGAAACATCTTGCTTAACAGCCAAGCACAAAATCTTTTGTCCAGTTTTATGTGCTTGTTTTTAATACAGCAGCTGTGGCTCCTTCTACTTGCTGTAAAAAGGGCACAAAACTAGATCCTGCTTTGTCTCAAGACCTACTGCTGAATTTTTAATCACTAACAAGAAAGAAAAACCTACCTAATGTAATTACTGCAAAGCCCTTTCCAAAACTTCTCCTTGCAGTCAGCCCATGAAATACAGAATGAAGCAAGGTCCCAGACTTCCCAAAAGCTTTCTGTATCTTGTAACACTATCACAAATGATTTAATTTTCTCGACCATTAGACAGGCCAAAAAAACCCACAATGTACTGGTGAGTACAATGCTGTGCTGCTCTTGGGAGCACCCTGTAGCTTCTGGGTACTTTCAGACTACTAATCCTGCTGAGAGAGCAGGAGAAAGGTACCACCCACCCCCTCAGCAAGTGCTGCCTTTATCTTCTAACGAACAGCTCTGGCTTCATGTTATCCAAGTTTCACTGGCATTACTTGCATTATGTCACCTAAGCATACAGCAGATTGAGGCTGGAATAGTCAGAGCACAGCTGGCATTTCCAAACAGGCAGGGGTTGCCTACTCCCCTCTGCACCCATGTACACAAACTTGGTTTTTTCACCTTCAAGTACCTACAAAGTCACTTCTGTCTCACCATGTTTCCGAGAAGGTTACTCTGATTTTGAAGGTGAGTGCTGGATGCTTTTCTATACAGGAAGTTACAAATGTGGCTGCCAGCAGCACCTGGACAGCAAGAAGCTGTAATGAATTCCTAAAGTAGTAATTGCCTGTGGGAATGTCTGCTCCCTGCACTTACCTGCTTTGCTCTGGAGTAACAGGTGCCAGACCTGCTCAGGAGGGACCCTGGTCTTCACACAGCAGCTCTTTCAGCTGGACCTCCTCTGCTGTGCCCGAGGGCTGCCTGGCACACAGTCAACTGATGGGTTTGCCCAAGCACCACGGTCTGAGCCATCCTTGTGCTACAGGGAGATGGAGACATTCAAGAATTTTGTCCAGAAAGCAGCCTAAAAGCTCTAAAACAAAGGAAAATATTACCTCCCACACAAACATAAACACACAGTAGAGTTAAAAATGAGTAAGACACTCCTTCCACCTAGCAGAGAAGATAGGAGTGGTTACCACCCAAGAGTACACACTGATGACCAAGACATGACCATTTGAGTACAGCATTCTAAACCACAAAGCAGTAATTAATTTTGGCCTTATCCTTCAGAAGGACAAGTACCTCTGCAAATTTAATGCCATCTACCTAACCTGTACAGGCAGATCTGTACTAGGAGGCGGCAGCGTTTTGCTGTTGGTTTTCAGCTTTCTCAAAAAAAAAAGCAGCAGCACTTGGAAGATAATCTAAGAACAGTGTAGCTTTGAGAGCATGGATCAGAAATTAAAATACCAATTAACAGGAAAAGTTGATCAAGTCTTACCTTTCTTCTCCATTGCATGCACATCTTGATGTGTATTGACTCAGTACATTCTTCCAACATCATCTCAGTTAATGAGTTTGTTACTTTAATAATTTGTCAGAGTAAAGCAACCAAGTAACTTAATTCTCACGCCTGTGTATAAGTTCTCTTTCCACAAGCTGTGGAAACCTGCTGACCTGCAGGAACACTTACCTGGCCCTTCAGCTACTGTAAACAGGCACAGAAAGAAAGACACATCAGCACACGTTGTAGCATTTGATCTTTATTACTTGGATCAAAGGTCAAATGATTACATTTGTCTGAAATATTATGACGGAGGCCAATGAAGTAAGAAAAGACAGTTTAATCCCATTTGAGAGACTGCATCTGAGCTAGCGAGTGCATTAACAGTCAGAAGGCAGGAAAATAAACATGGGTACAAATACACAAGGTCAGGAGGAGGGTTTCCACCTCCCCTGCCAGTCACGGTTCCATCACGGGGATGACCAGTGACAATAATCTGCAATTCTTAACAGCGCCTTTGCAGAAAGGTGGTAACACCCCGGGGAAAACCCATCACTCACTTCAAATCTACATTCACTGTCTACACTTGCTCTCGCCAGCTAGAAAGGGTCAGATGCAGTCAGTGATTTAGTACCTTCCTAAAGCAGAACAGACAACTTCATATTTATTTTTTTTTTCTCTTCAAGTATCAGCATAACAGTTTATTTACACTTGTATACAATTCTTTTTACTGAACACCCACTTAGTAAAACACTCATCACAGTATATTCAAAAGCAGGCTATAAAAATACCTACTATACATAAAACATTTAGCCTCAAGGAATTTTACAGCACCTCTGAAAGTTGAGAGAGGTAAAACAAAGAAAGGGGGAGAGGGGAGACACCTCAACCACACTTGCCAGTGAAGAGAAGCGACCCTTGGGCTCAGCTCTCACTGGGAGAAACCCTCCCTTCCACCACATTTCTTCAGCCAGGTCTGAGCTCAAGTACCACAGTCTGCTGGTAAAACCCCACTTTTCTAATACCATCTCCTGGGATTTGCCCTCTGTAACTGTGGATAAGCTCTGACTTTTTCAATTTTCAAACTGTTTAACAGCTCCCGGTGACGGCTGGGCAGTGGAGGGTCTGCAGGGAGCACAGCCCGGCTTTCCCACGCTGAACACACATCAAATGGGGAAGGGAAATTACTTCTACAGTGTTGCCACAAAGGTGGCCTTGTTAACTACACATCAATAAATTAACTTCTCTGAGCAGCGCTGTGTGGTCTCTCTCCTCACACAATAGCTACAGACACAGCTGAATTTCTTAATAAAGATCTGAAACGGGCGTTAGGGAACACATGGATCACACACACAAAGCTTTAGGCAGCAGCGCTTGAAGCAAGTGTTTCTGGTCATTCCGTACCCTACACATCCCTCTCCTGACACGGAACCCAGAGATACAGTATGGCTTACTTCCAGAGCTGAATATATTGCTGAAATTAGCTTATTAAAACAAATCACAACAGCAGCACGTTATTTTATAAACCCTGCACAAACAAAAGACAATTTAACCCTTGCCTGCAAAACTACATTACAAGGGCTGGGTATTTCACACAGGAATAGAGAAAAAGGGAAGAAAAAACAAAAACACACAAAAAAAAGAACAAAATAACCCCAACAACATACATGGTAAAAGCTCAATTAATAGCAGAGAAGTCCTTAGAGAAAACACAGTCCAACTACCAAAGAACAGTTCTCCTCGTTGCAGGACTAAGAGCCAGCAGCGGCGCTGGCCGCTCGCTTCAGTTGTCTGGTCACACACATACAAAATACACATTGATTTAGTACAGTTAAAAGGTCGTGGCCTCAAAACACATAGAAAATTCCATTTTTAGCACTGGAGTTTCACAAGGTGTAAAAGAGCAGTGAAGAACTGGGATGGTGGAAAATGCTTAAAAACAACACCAAAAAAAACCCAAACCCCAAGGCAGGTGTGCCATGTTACAAATAATGTCAGAATTTACCTGGTGTTTTGCTTGCATGAGCTGTTAGAATGGTTAAACTCCACCTAACCTTTCTGTACTGTTTCCTGATGTACGTATTAAATGTGGCTATAAAAGAGAAACACATACTTTTATGTTGAAATTCATTCCAAAAATTGCCTAAAAAAAATTAAATAAATTTAATTTAAAAGCACTAAACTAATTTAATTTAAAAGCACTAAATAAATTTAATTTAAAAGCACTAATAAGACAAGCAGCTTCTCCAGCCCTTGACAGTCTGAATCCTTTTCCCCTCCCTTTCAGTCTCAGAAAAGCTGCTCATCCCCTCCTGTAACTGCAGCAGAAAGGACATGTCTGTCTGTCTGTCTCTCTCTCTCAATCCATTGTGCAGGCTGCCAGCTTTACTCACACTCATGTCCCCCACTTAATGCTGTGTCTTCCACTGCCCTCCAAAATACAGCTGGCCCCTGGAAAATGTTAAAATCTTGCTAAAACAGCAGAGTCTTTCCACTAGCAAATCTAGCTTTAATGCTTTTACTTTCCAAAGGGAAAGTCTCCCCATTTCAGAAAAAAATTAAGTCGTGGCTGGCAAACTGAATCTCCATTTAAAACACAGAAAAGCTTTTGGAGCTGACAGGCTTTCCCATTTAAAGCAGTTCCACAACACGAAGCCTCCAATGCTCAAAATGTAGAATTTCACCTATGTTAAATACGCCATCAGAAAAATCTCCATGTAATTCTAGGCAATCATTCACAGTAAAAATAAGAGGAACTCTTAGAAAAAACACTTAAAAAAGAAAGTAAAATCTAGTTAAAATCTGACAGTAAAATTGATACAGGCAATTAACCATCTTGCAGTATCCACAGATGAACAATAAAAACCACTGAAACTGCACAAATTTGCATACAAAAAAATCTAAACCCAACTCTACTCTGCTTCCCATAGATCTTTTTACTGATACCTTTCGGCACCGAGAGTTATCCACAACTACAGGTTTTCTCCAAAGAAGCTGAATCACATTCGAAATGTCTTAAAGTGAAGGGG